TAAAGCTCAAATTTAAGTCACATATCATTGTGAAAAGTAAATGCAAGTAAACCACCGCACCCCCTCCTCGATCTAGTTCACAGACGCATAACAGACATATTGACATGATATTTGAGATTTCAATGAATTTGAAATCCTCAAGTTCAGAAAACTCGGATTTTTTTCGTTTCAACGTGGTCTTTTAGCGTCTATCACGGGTCGTCACAGACACTGCGACATGCTGCTATGCTTTCACATAGATCAAAATGTGAATAGCTTTTGAACAGTTTAAGTATTTCATATGATATTTCTGTGAATTTTACACAACATATCTCAAATACACCAAAAATACTTTAGGGTCTACATGAAATGGTGAAGAACAGAGGAATAAATGATCAATGATCATGCAAGGCTTCACCATTTAGAGTGCACAAAAAGTGACTCGGCGTCTACGTGAAATAAGAGAGTAAGATCGCATATCACGTTGAACGTACACTAGCAATCTACAGGGAAACATAATGAAGCGGCCCGAACAGAACTCAAGCTCAAATTCGAAAGCTAAAATTTACAGGAATAACTAACAATGACGACTTCTACAATTGATGAAACTTGTGGACACATCGAACGTATTATTCTAATGAGGCCATATCGACTTGAAAACGTCGTTCGTGTTTTTACCTACTTCCAAAAAAAATTGATATTTTACGAAACCTATACACACGTGAAGAATCCTTTAGGTTTAAAAAGACTTCGAACATTCTATTGAATTTTTTGTGAGCTTCGACAGTGTCTGCAAGAGTAATATAATTGAAGTAATGTTTTCATAATCGACAAAAGTCAATGTAATCCGATTTACATTATTTTAACAAACATGTAGTAAACAGAAAGTATTCCGAATATAAAATTGTAATTTTATAAATCTTTGTTTGATTGTTTGTAGTATTATTTAAGACATTTTCCTTAGAAAAAAAGATGAATTTAACAATTAATTGTGATATGGGAGAAAGTTATGGAATATGGAAAATGGGCAATGATGAGGAAATTATGCCACATGTACATTTGATCAATGTTGCATGCGGATTTCATGCTGGTGATCCAAATGAAATGACAAAAACAATAAAACTAGCCAAACTATATCCTCATATAAAAGTTGGTGCACATCCTGGTTTACCTGATTTGCAAGGATTTGGAAGACGTGAAATGATAATGAATCCAGATGAAATTGAAAATATGATTGTTTATCAAGTTGGTGCTTTACAAGCGTTTTTGAATAAAGAAGGCTTACCTTTACATCATGTTAAACCTCATGGTTCATTATATAATATGACTGCTCGTGATGAATTGAAATGTGATGCTTTGTGTAAAGCTATATTACAATTTTCAAATAACCATAACGATAATAAGAACATTGATGATGAAGTTACTGACAACAACAACATAAAATTAATTGGTTTAGCAAATAGTTATCATGAAATTTGTGCAAAAAAATATAATATTCCATTTATACCAGAATTTTTTGCAGATTTAGAATATGATAATAAAGGAAAATTAATAATAACACGCAAGCACGATCCTATTAATATAAATAAAGTAATTAGACATGTTGAAGTAGCATTAAATGCTAACAAAATAATAGCAAATGATAATACAACTGAATTATTTATTCGATTTGAAACAATATGTGTACATTCTGATACACCAAATTCGGTTGAAGTTGCAAAAACTGTAAATGATGTTTTAAAACAATGGAAAGTAAACAAACATATGCAAGAAAATAATATTAAAATATTAATAGCAAATAGAGGTGAAATTGCTATTAGAATTATAGAAACATGTAAAAGATTAAAATTGAAAACAATTGCCGTATATACTGAACAAGATGAATATTCTCTTCATACATTAAAATCAGATGAATCAGTATTAATATCAAATTATACAAATATTGATGAAATTTTAGAAATTTGTAAAAATAATAATGTTACTGCTTTACATCCAGGTTATGGATTTTTAAGTGAAAATCATGAATTTGTAAGAAAATTAGAAAATGAAAATATAATATTTATAGGACCAAAATCAGAAATTATTCAAAATTTTGGTTTGAAACATTATGCTCGTAATTTAGCTAGACAATTAAATATACCAATTATTCCTGGTTCAACAAATTTATTACCAAAAAATGATGATGAAGCTTTTCAAATAGCAAAAAATGATGTTAATCAAATTGGTGGTTATCCAATATTAATTAAAGCCACAGGTGGAGGTGGTGGTATTGGTATGCAAATTTGTAATAATGATAATGAACTTTTATTAGCAATACAACAATGTCGGAATAAAGCATTATTATATTTTAATAATAATGATATTTATATTGAAAAATATTATCCTAATAGTCGTCATATTGAAGTACAAATATTTGGTAATGGTAATGGCGAAATTATTCATTTAGGTACTCGTGAATGTTCAATTCAAAGAAGATATCAAAAAATAATTGAAGAATCACCTTCACCTTTTTTTCTAAATAATAATAAGAATATATTAGATGATTTATATAATTGTGCCATAAAACTAGCTCAATCAGTAAATTATTATTCCGTTGGCACTATTGAATTTCTATTAATTGATAATGGTCCAAATGATAATGAAACTGGGAAATTTTATTTTTTAGAGATGAATACAAGACTACAAGTTGAACATGGAATCACTGAAATGGTTAACAATATAGATTTGGTTGAATGGATGATACAATTAAGTTTAAAAGATTATAAATTCCAATTTAATCATTTATTGCTAAATAATATAATTGATTTTAATAATCATATTCAGTATGTTTATTTACCAAATGGTCATTCAATAGAAGTACGTATTTATGCTGAAGATTCAAATCATGATTATATACCCTCATCAGGTTTAATTACATTTATCAAATGGCCAAATCATTATCATTGGTTACGAATTGACACTTGGATTACAATAGGTACAAAAATTACTTCAAATTATGATCCTTTACTTGCTAAAATAATGGTTTATGGTAATAGCCGTGATCATACAATTAAGAGAATGAATAAAGTTTTAGATCAATTGATTATTTCTGGTCCTATTACAAATTTAGGTTTACTAAAAACCATTTTTCAAAATGAAGATTTTATTATTGGTAATACAACTACGAAATTTATAAAATCAATCAGTTATACACCAAATGGTATTTATGTATTACGAGGTGGTACAGAAACTACAATACAAGATTATCCTGGACGATTAGATTTACGTGTATATGGTATACAACCATGTGGTCCTATGGATCAATTATCTTTTCAGTTAGCTAATCTAATTGTTGGTAATCAACTAAACACTGAAGCTTTGGAAATTACTCATTATGGTCCTAAACTATTATTTTATAATTCAATTCATATTGCTATTACTGGTGCTCTATTTAAAATCGAATTGTTGTTACCTTATTCAAGATCCTCATTAGAATTACCAATGAATGCAAAATTATTTATACCTGCAGGTTCAATACTTGATATTCAATCTATAATTAATATTACTAATAACGGTGGTTGTCGATGTTATCTTGCTATTTTAGGTGGTATTGATGTACCTACTTATTTATATTCAAAATCAACTTTTATATCTTGTAGTGCTGGTGGACATCAAGGTAGAGCTTTAAAAAGCGGTGATCTTTTACCTTGGTTCAATAATAATAATAATAATAATAATAATAATTCAGATGTTGATGATAATAATAATCTTGAAAAAAACATAATAAAATTTGTAATACCAAATGATATCATACTAAAATTTACAACAAATTGGGAAATACAAGTACTATTAGGGCCACATGGTAATCCTGATTATGTAGATAACAATAATCTAATGGAATTATTAAATACCAAATGGAAAGTTCATTTTTCAAGTAATAGAATGGGTATAAGATTAATTGGTCCAAGACCAAAATGGGAAAGATTAGATGGAGGTGAAGGTGGTTCTCATCCAAGTAATATACATGATTGTGGTTATGCTCTTGGTAGTATTAATTTTACTGGCGATATGCCTATTATATTAACTGCTGAAGGTCCAACACAAGGTGGATTTGTTTGTCCTTTTACAATTATTTCGTCTGATTTTTGGAAAGTTGGTCAACTAAAATCTGGTGATACTTTAATATTTAAACCAATTACTATGAATCAAGCATTAAAACATAAAAAATTAATAAATGATTATTTAAATTACATTAAAAAATTATTAGATTATTGTCCATTAATCATACAAAAACCGAAATATTTTAATGATATTAATGATTTAATATTATATAATCATTATTATAAAAATGATGAATTTAATATTGAAACTAATTCATCCTTATTATTAGAATATAAACATAACGATATATTAATACAATATCGTCAAGCTGGTGATTGTTATTTATTAATTGAATATGGTGACTCAAAATCGGCTATAAATTTATTATTGCGTATGCGTATACATCAAATACAAGAACATCTTGGTCTTATTACAGATTTAAAAACAATGAAAACTAAACCCATATTAAAGGGTTTAATTGATTCTGCCCCAGCAATTCGCTCATTACTTGTACGTTACGATCCTATTCATTTATCACAAAATACTTTAATAGAATATTTACAAACCATCGAAAAATTATTACCATTTCATAATAATATTAATTTGCCATGTAGGAAAATATATTTACCAATTACATTAGATGATCATTGGAATAATGAAGCTATTCAATATTATATGGAAACAATTCGTTCCAAAGCTAGTTATTTACCAAATAACTTAAAATTTATTGCAAATAATAATGGAATTATTGGTGAAAATGATATTAACCAAATATCAAATATATTGTTAGAAGCCCAATGGTTAGTTATTGGAATTGGATTTTATCTTGGTTGTCCATTTGCTATTCCAATAAATCCGAGGCATAGATTATCTGTACCAAAATATAATCTTGCTAGAACTTATACGCCTGATGGTTCTTGTGGTCTTGGTGGTAATGATATGGCAATTTATCCTATTGAAAGTCCAGGTGGCTATCAATTGTTTGGAAGAACAATACAAACTTGGTCAACATTTGGTACAATTGGATATCCATTTACAAATTATCAACCTTGGTTATTGAACATGTTTGATATTATTCAATNTATCTATATCAATTTTAACGAATGTGTAACTATATCAAAATCGTAGTTTTTATGCGACTTTTTAGAAAGATAGAAGTGTTAAAGTGATGTTTTTGAATATCTCCTGTGCGTCTGAATTGTTTCACACAGATAATTTTGTACCAAATATTTATCACAAAGCAAAAGAAAAAATTTCATAGCTAAGATCTGCCTAATATCTAATGGTATAAACAGAAATTTTGACTAAGATCAGGGCTCAGTTCCAAAAGTTTCTTCTAAGCTCGTCGACTTGGTATAAATTTTTCTATGCATGAAAACGAACGTACGAGAATTTTTCAAAAAAAAAACTATATGCAAGCAAAAAGTTCAATATCTTTAATTAGAGTGAGCAATAAAATCAAATTAAAATGAAAATACAAAAAACATCAGTTCACTTAAACATAATTCGCCTATTTTTATGCTTTCTCAAGAAAACATCAGTGACTTGTTCAAAATTTACATCAATATCAAATTCAACAGCTAATACACATATATCACTCAAACATTTATTATCATAATATTTGTTATTGTGGTTTCAATTATTTTCATTTTTAGAAAAAGAACGTTTACATATGTTTGAAGAGACCGAATGATTATTAGGGGTGACACTTTTCTTTCCTTTCTGAAAGAAAACCAAAGTTATGAATCAAGCTTTAGTCTATTTTAAACTAGTCTGTTCATCGACATGGAAAAACAAAGTGCTTTTCAAGACAAATTACAGTGACTTATACCTCTGGTAATTTTCCTTATCGCTATTGGTATATTCCTTTGTTCTATGGAATAGTCCATGATGTCACTGAATATACATATACATATGTGACCTTGTGAGATCTCAATCCCAATTCTAGTTTATTAGTATAACTGTCTCTAAGAATGGATGAATAATCATCTCCTCCTAACAACATAACGTTGTATATATAGAAGTGATAGAAGTAGTTGGAAATTTCCAATAAATGATGAACAAGGAAAATCCATAGAACAACATGAAAGATAGAGTGATGGAACGAAATGAAAAATTCCAACATGCATGACTAACAAGAAGAAAAACATAAGTGGATTGTTTATAATCCTGCCGATTACAGAAAGACATTTCTTATGACTACATCTAAATAAGATATAGGCTGTATTAGACCTTTCCTGTTATGATTGATTGTTCTTGCTCGTCTTTTATCTTTCTCTTCTTCATCTCACAGACATACAGCATGATTCACTTATTTTTGCTCATTCTTCTTCTGTTTGTTGTATTTCTACAAAATGTCAGAAGGTTTTTATTTCTATACAGTTTGGTAGAGCATTGATTACTCTATCCAACTGTATAGTTTTCATTTGATTTATTTCGTTTCTTCATAGAAAAAAAACAATGAATTTCCAGAAACACATGAAATAAGTTGTTTTTTTTTTGTAAAAATCCTAGACAGTTTGCTCATGTAATGGGAGTAATTATTATGTATCGGGCAAAGGAACATTTTTAGCTTCTATTTAGTTCGACAGAGAATTTATTTTTCTATCAAATTATCTATTTTTTATCCAATTTATCTCTCTGTTTGACTGAAAATTTAGTGAATTTCTAACAATTTTTTCACTAAAAGTTCAACTATTTATTCTTCTCGAGTATATTACAGCCTCCTAATGATTGCAATCTCTTCCATCAATATATAGTTGAATAGAGCAACAATTTCTGTAATGATTCATGTAGTTTTTGTCTAATTTGCTTATAAGGTCTTATAGATAAATTTGAGATTATACGAATAGTACCGAAAGTCTAGTAGTGCAAAAGTGTCTCAAATTCCAACAGTAAAATTTAATTCTCTCCTCCAATTCAAAACAACTTCATTCAATACTTGGCACAGCCTTAAGTTTGACGGATCTATTCCATCTAAAATTGTTTTCGTAACAATCAGATATGAGCTGAATGAAATATGTGTGTGAAAAAGCTTCATTCAGCCAGCTTTAGAAATTCATTGATTTTTTTCTATAAAGATATGAAATAAATCAACTGAAAACTATACAGTTGGATATAGTAATCAATGCTCTACCAAACTGTATAGATATAAAAAAAACTTCTGATGTTTTGTAGAAATACAGCAAACTGAAGAAAAATGAGCAAAAATAAGTGAATCATACTGTATATACTGTCTATGCTTCTTTTCTTCATTATTCATATATCAATAAAACTAGATGTTCCTCTTAAGTTCCTTTTCTAAAACTGAAATTGATACGTGACATGAATAAAAAAAAAACTCATTGTAAACACTGAGACCGGAGAAAACATCATTTATTTTGAAAAAAAATGTCCAACACGGAAAAATCAATTATTAATAATTTAAATTAAACAACAAACATTTGTTTGACATCATTGTTTGAGTTTATTTTTAATTTAATTTTTCGGATTTAAAATATCAAAATAAACTGCAAGTATGTGTTTTAAATAAATAAAAAAATTACATCTAAATTATAATCCAATTATGACATAGAAGTCTTTTTATTATTTTTGAATTAAATTATTTAAAATTTACTTTACAATCAAATGCTTCTTAAAAGACATAAATAGGCAACTCTAGTTTGCAGGATCTCATTTTTTTTCTTATCATTCTTATTTGACAAAAAGAAAAGAATCAATATCAGCAATAACGATCTATGTTGATATAAATTTAATAATCACTAATAACTTTCGAAATCTTAATGCAGTCGATAATGCTCAACAATTGATTATAGAGAGAAATATGTGTCTTGACATGATACTATTTGATGAGTGCATAGTATTTACTATTCGTACTCATTAGAAGACGAATATGCATAGCTTCTCTACTATTATTCTTCTATCAATACAGTCTTTTGTTAACATTTGAAATATGTCTACGAGACACAATTCGAATAAAGAACTTTTGAGCATTCCAGTGTTTTAGTCTTCAAACAATGACGTCGTGATTTTTTTGAAGCTCATCCTCATTATATCAGTTAAGGCATAGTGAAAAATAAATAGTGTAATGATTATCGATCTACGACTTGAGTCATCTTCTGAATTCATATGATTATATCATAAGTTATTGTTAGCAAAGAATACAAATATTCGAAAAATTCTTCCATTATTGAACAGTCTAGAAGAGCTCATTCGTTAATTTGATGCAAATAAAAAGGACAATTGAACTGGATTTTATTTCTCAGAAAAAAATCCAATGAGATAAATATACTGATGATAAGAATATTTTGATAAAAATAAATCGTGTTTAGACAATATTCAATTTGTCAAAGCATTGACCATGGCAAGCCAGTCATCGAACATCTTTGGATTTTTAGCGCTTACAAAGTATAATTTATCCACTCCTTTGAGACCAATTTTTTTTATTTCAGATTGAATCTGATTTTTAACTGCTTCTTGTTCTTCTGGTTCAACTTTGTCAAATTTGTTGAAAACAATATCATAATGTAATCCAATTTCATCCAAGAGTTTCATCATGCTTGAATTTTCCTTAACTGTTGATTGAATTAGGATCAAACGTCGTGAAAGACCTTTAAAGAAAGAAATATATTCCATACTAAGATAAGATACTTCATCATTTCGACCAGGAACATCCCAGAGTATGAATTTTGTTCCATTGTATGGTTTAATTTTTGTTGTAGTTTCACCAACACCAGTATCAGCAACCTTTTGACCAAGAAGAGCATTAAGCATAGTTGATTTGCCAGTTGATGTCAAACCAAATAGGCCTATATTGATACCTTCCATCTGAACCGGCTTTGTTTGTTGTGCCAATGTTATAAGAACTTTCTTAGCCTCTTTATCTTGTTTTTCGAGATCATCGAATGATTCAATCTTTTCTCGTTGCAATGTCTTACTGAGAGAATCAAAACGTGCAAGAAGTTCGGCATGTTGTTGACGATAGTGAGCCAATTCTTCGCGCAATCTGGTAGCTTCGGCTGAATCATCCGATTCTGCAATGAAGAAAATTTTAAGGAGGTGTATTTAGCCGTAAATAAACTAGTAAAAACTAGACTTTTTCTCGACCCTACACAAAAGCTTTAGAATTGATATACGTGATTACGAAGAAGACCGATAGTCACCGAAGAGTTTCATTTATCTAAGATCAATGGAGCAGCGTTAATCAAACAAATTATTAGAATCAATTTAACAAGGTTTCTCGTCAGCAATGAAATAAAGTATATTGCTTTATGTATATGTTTTTTTCGATGATTTAAAAACTCATTTTGACCATGAACAAACAAATTGCTTCAAGAGGAGCTATTTTGTGCTCAACAACTCAATTTAGTCTCACTTCTAATTTTCCTATGTTTATTTTCGAACGTAACATTTCGAGATCAAATTAGAAAATTGTACTTTATTCAACATTTATTGACACCAAGAAGTTACAAGACTAATTTCATCTCTCTAAAATTATTTTCGAGAAACAATAAATAGTTTTTGTCCTCGACGCAAAACTAACTGCTTAATCAAAATATTCCTAGTAGACTATAACATTTTGCTATGCGATCACCTCAGTCGTTTCGAATCCAAGAGATAGAGAAATATTATGTTGACTTACGTCGTTTCGGAGACAAGCCACCTACTAGAGCCTCCACCAATCTATGTGCTATTGGTACAAATGGTAAGAACGCAGCCATAATTCAAGTAAATCTTGTGGGAAAAAAATCGAAGTTCCTCGATTGTGCTTGTTTGCAGTAAATGATTTAATGCGACCGAAGAATATATACTTCTATGAGCTCGATTGGATTATTCCGATGATGATAAAAATGTCGGTTATATCCAACTTCTTTACTTTGCTGGTCTCTAGTGCAATAAAATAAAGCCTTTTTCTGTATATCATCGCTGAGGTATTTTCCTCTTACGCGTTCTCTTTCTCATTTTTATCTTCCTTTGGTACTATGTCTCAATCGAAAATAACATCTGGTTCTTTTTTTCTCTTTTCTTTCTCATTCACAACTATCCACAGATGGTAAATATCATGATATCATTCGTCTGCTGAAAATCACTGTGAAGACACATATTGATGATTCAAAATATACATGTGTTATATGAATCACACGAAATAAATTACAAAGATAATACATCCGAATTATGTTTGTTCTAATGAAATTCTAGCAAAAGAGATCAATACTTCTAGCACTTGGTATCATTGAAAAGTATATCATCATATTTGATTTAATTTTTCGCTGTACATGAATGACTTTATGTTATTGTTTTGATCATGCATGCTTAATCAAAAGATACACTTAACTGAAAATAATTCAATGAATAAAAAATAAGCTGTTGTCAAAAGATTTTTTTTCGGAAAAAACTCTAAGTAGAATCCATAGTCGATTGTATTTATTTTAATTACAAGCAAGATTGGACTTATGGAATATTAGTTAATACTCAACTTGCTTTACCATCATTTGTTGTAGAAAACATAGTGGAATTTTTGGCTAACAAATGATTGTATTAGCCAGTGAGCAACAAATGTGAAGTGTGTATGCATCTAAACAAGATGATGAATATTATGCATGTCGATTTGAATCAATCTATCAAGTTGAAGGTGATTGAGTTGCAATCATGTTCCTAATAATAAGTCTTGTTTTGCGACACGATNTCTTCACATATGATGTTTTTCAGGAATAAATTTTTCTAGAAAAAAAGACGATTTTCAAGAAGCAGTTTTTCCTGGCAATGGGTTTGAGCCGGTAACCGTACCTACGGTTATCGTCACCGTTGCATCCGTAGGTATCTCCCCTCTTATATAGGATTCGAGGTAGTCTAGGTACCCTTGCATGTAAATAAGAATGTGAGGGATTATGGATACCTGCTTTATTCAAAATATAGTTTTAAACATAAACTACTATGCAAGTGGAACGGTAACCGGTCTGAACTGGTTACCGGTTCAACGGTTACCGCTTAGGCCGGTTATGGTCACTGTTGCATCCCTAATAAAGATTTGTACCATTCAAATTACTGACAAATAGTTATTTTCATTGGCAATAATTGTCCATTTTATCTGAGCAGAAAAAAACAAACTTTACTACTTTTACTTTTACTTTAAACAGTCTTAAGTTATAATGGAAGTTCGTGTATTAGAGACCAAAACGGGATAGGACAGAGAAAATTTAGGACGGAGAAAAGTGGGACAGAGGAAAGTTATGACAGAGTGATGTGAGATCGAGTTAAATTAAGGGTGTGGGTGTGGCTGTGGCTGTGGGTTTGGATGAAGAATGAACCCACACCTTTGATGCGATCAAGGAGATCAATAGAAAATATTTAGGTATGATAGTGATTAGCTTCGAAACAATGCTCGCAGCAACGAAATTTACTAGAGTAACCGTGTTGAATAAAAGGCAGCAAGTGGCAACTCGATTGCTGACAAAAGCTACCCTCGGCATTAAACTAAGTTTGGCTATCGAATTCGAAATCTTTTGAATATTGATCGACATGATCTGCAGCGAACCATGAATACATGATCATTGGTATGTATAGAGATATTGACAGATGGCTGTGAATGAGAGAATTTAAGCGTATTGTATTGTAAGCTAGAGATATGAAATAAAAGCCTGTGAACTCCAGGATAATATGCTGATGATCAGATAAATTCATCAGAACAATTTTAGCTTGTAGTACAGTTTCGTTTGTGGTATGCTATAGTAATATATCGGGTGTGGGTATGCGAGCAGAGAAGAATGAAACCTGCACCACACACTCACACCCCAAAACAACGATTTTATCTCAACGAAAACAAGTAATACCTCGTATTCTCTTTCTTCTCAAATATATACACATCATACTCAGCTGAATAAATTACAGTCAACCTTGCTGTTTCAAACAACTTGTTGAAAGACCAGAAATTTTTCCATTTTCTCAAGTCATCTTGAAAGAAACGATAAATTTTTTGTCATATTATTGCATAGATAACGATTCGTTAAATGAAAGCCTACACGTGTGATTTGAAAAGAAGACGCTCACAGCGTTCTCTAATTCGTGAAACGGTTCCAAAGAAATAAACTACAATCTCTATTAGTATTGATTTCAAATGAATTACAAAAAGTAGAGTCTATTGTAATTACATAGATGAAACATTGAAAGCAAGATATTTAATTCGAAAATAAATTTAAATAAATATTCGAACTTAACAGGATGTGAGCGTGCAGATGGCGGTATCTATTTTTATCTCAGGTAGTTCAATTTCGGATTTGATGCCGCTCATTGTTGAGCAACAAAATAAAATATATTTCTGTGGGATGGTGCGTGGGCGTGGCTGCAACTGAATAGTATAAGGTGGTTAATTTACTACTCCCAACTATCTTACAACATTTTGAAGGTCTCATGTAGGTTTGACTATGGTTAAAAATAAAAGGCGAACATTGCTCTACCCATGAATTATTATTCATACAAAACGTCTAATCTGGAAACCTTGATAATGCTTACAGTGTGTTTGTTCCACGTATCGTGTATGAATTAACTGAAGAAAGTAATTTGCTTCGTACTATTTTACATCATTTTGTAGGTATCATTGAAAACCACATATAGTCAAAATGTCATGAACAGATATATTCTTGGTCTCCAGTTATTTAGGAAATACTACGCTAAGAAGATTTTCATCTTGAACCATGTGGTTACTAGATGACCTATCTCTCGTGTGTCGTTTAAGATTCTGAGTTGATACTTTCACAAATTCTCAACAAAGCAACTAAGTCTCGATTACAATAGCTATCGATTGGAATTCAATGTACTCACAATTATCATAAGATCTTTATATAACTTCATTGTAAAAAAATAATTTGACATGGTGTAACATATTGCATGTTATAATAACAAAGATATAAGCAAAAGTATGCTAGAATATTCTGCGTGGTGAGCCTTACCATTTTATATACATACTCAAAGAAAAAAGTCGGTAGGTCAATATTTTGTCTTATATACCTTGGTTCTTAATTGACAGTGTCCTATAATTTTGAGACACCCTGTTACTATGTGTAGGTAATATCTCTCAAGTGCACATTTAAGAAGTTTTTTAGAAGTAGAGCAGACTAAATGAAAAACTGAAATTAGTCTGACTAATTGTTTTTGGTAGATGAGTATACATTTATGTTCTCCTCAGTATGCATTCATTAATGTGGTGTTGATAGTGCACAATGGTAAATGTGATTATATATTATGAAATACACATAGAAGCAGAGTGACCGTTATATTTTGAAAAGTGAAGCAAAAAATTGATAAAACTCTACAACCAAGGATATTCACATTCATAGATTTTTTTATTAAGTCTTCAATTGATTTTGAATGCACTCATGGTAGCCCATATGTTGAGTACTTTTTTGGACAACTGACAATAACAAGAACGTTATCGAACATTTGTATTACAAAACTAAATAAGTTTTAATAGTTCCTCTCTTCATATCTCTTTAATCACTCTTACTTGACTGTGACAGATATATTTGGAAAAAAAATGAAAAAACAAGAAGAATCAATTTTTACCCTATACGTTTTTTTTATTGAAATTTTAAACTCTCAGTCTCAAATACTCATGCAGCGAAAAATATTATTACCAACACATACAAAAATGAAAACAATTTAATATTATCAAAGCCACACATAAAGTACTGCTTCGTCATCCAACGGGTCATAACATTCCGTTTGGTAAGCACGTTTACCGTACTTCCAAAAATCACGTATTCTGGAAAACTTCTGATTGTCTTGCTCCAAAACACCATGAACAGTGAGAAAAGTCAATTTTGGAAGACTATTAATAAATATATCTAATGTTTTAGGTACTTGAACATTATAAAAGTCTAATTCAATGACTTGTAGTTGTGGCAATTGCTTTACAATTGAAAAAGCAACATCTGTTATAGCTGGATGTTCCCAAACCATATAAAGACTGAGCTGTTGTAATCCGGTTGACATAAGCATATTGCACAAAGAATCATCGTTTAAAAGATCGATTAAATTTTTCTCATTTGAATGATCTTTAGAATTAAGATTTAATCTACTCTACAGCTGTAGAGTACGTAGATTAGTTGCTTGTCTGAAGAGCAAGTGAAGTTGAGCAAAGTTGAATGGATCACTTATACTTAGCGAGATAATTTGATGCCAAGAAACTATAGTTGGTAGGTACGAGAGAAATTCGTCGTTGCCTTGAGAGTGATGGCTATCCAAGATAATCTTATTGATATATACCAAACGATTGTTCAAAATTGACACAGTATATGGCCAGCGGCTTTGCCTAGATTCAAGAACAACGTTTGTCGTAAGAAAGAAAAGAAATTTATTCTTACCCATGGACAGTGTTTTTGTTCAGATAACTATCAGCAGATAAAGATTTGTCAATTCGTGGTATCGTTAAAGCCCTAATAGAATAACAATTTTTATATAAAGATAACTCCAATTCGATTGGTATTCGTCCTTTGAATTGTTGAAACATGTCTAACAAGATGACACTTGTATCTGATAGTAAGACTGAAGTCATTACATACCAAATAACAACAAACATATATAAACATTGATCACAAAGCATCGATAGTAAATTGTGAACAACATGAGGTCCAGTCACCATTCCCAATAATGTGAAGTTCGTTAGTGAAAACCAAACATTGCGCTCAAATAATCGATCAAATGGTGGCACATCACGAAGATTATTTTAAAACGACGTAGGTTAGGAGCCAAACATTTATCAATACTAGATATTGGACTATAATAGAGTAACAAAAAAACATTTTGCAATAATCATAAATACATGATATATTATTTGAATATTTTACTATAACATACGATTTTCCATCATTCATCTACACATCATATCATACACTATCAGCGTTCTGTTTACGTACAATATTTCGTAGTTATGTACCCAAGATACATTTATCTTTAAAGAGCACTTTACATATACGAATTTTCTGTGTCATCATTATGTGTATCCGATCCGTGAGATAATGAAATTCCTATCAAGCTTAGCTTTTTTATCATCTAATCATGTCTATTCGCACTTATTTGGAAGACATTTTTTCTTTGAAATCAACAATATTTTCTATATGAATCTTTTTTTTATTCTTGTGAAAAAGTTACGAACAAAATTTGGAACAAGTTTATAAGTAGAACCATAAGAAATGATTCAAGACCATTATGAAAACATCTTCAGAGACATTCTAAATCCATTTAATAACGATTAGTTTCTTGTTTTCATAGAATTTTCCGTCTTGTTCGTGATCATTCATCTTCAAAATGTCGAAGAAATTTTTTTCGAAAGAAACTGATAATACATTGCAACTTATTTTACAATCTATTGTAGCATTTCTTCAAGAGCTGGTAAAGTTTTATTTTGCAGTAGCATAAGAAAGTTTATGTTGGCTGAGTCTGTTCTGTTTAACTGTGAAGTATGATATAGTTGTTCATCAATTCAAATTTTAAAGAGACAAACTCAACTCGACTTTAGCTACGATCGAAAAGGATTGATTACTTTTTGCTAATGAAAAACAAAACAGTAAGCTATGTCTTAAACTTATCGGAAATAAAAGATGTTACTCATTTCTTATTACATGCATCAATCTACAGTTGCACATAGAATTTCATATTTTTTTACTAATTGCAACCAATTATCTCGTATCCGTTGAGTTCTCTGGAAAAAAAGCTTTCGAAACAATTTGTTTTCAAATTTTGAACTTTTTGAAATTGTCATCTTAGAATTGAATACTTTACGTAGAACGAAACTAGAAATTCGTCAAAAAGTATACTATCAATTAAAAATGGCTCACTCTCAGCTATAATCTATTATAATAATATGATCGAATATATTCCCATCCTTCATACTTTTTACTCAGATTTTAAGAAAAGAAACTTACTTTTTATTATCATGTATTAATGAATGTTGACCAGGTAGCCAAGGAGTACTAAGTTCAAAGCTGAGATCTTGTAACTGAGGAAGATGTTCAAGTAAATGTGACAGAAAACCTAATGAACAATGTCGAAGTACAATTGATTCTAACTTCAAAAGACTTGTTTGAATCGACCTAAAAGCCTTATCAAGTGGCAGAATTATTTGATGGTCTACAATGTTATATCTGTCATGCCCAAAACGAAGATAACATTTACGTAACGAAGGAAATAAATGAAAGATTCGTTCATAATATGCATCTTCAGGAACACCTTCAAACGTGTAATCAGCACGATAATATTCTGAATAACGTATGCTGAACATGATAAGAGATATGTTGGGTGAAGCTGTACTGAGCATCAATTCAAAAGAAGAACGTTTTATGTCGATTAGTGATGAATGACGGAGATAAATAAATGTGTTGCTAACCACAAACCATTATCAATAGCCAATGTATCTGAGACACATAATGACATAAGACGACTACATATGCTTGATTGTGTTAAATGTGTATAGTAGAATTCAGTCACTGTTATACTCATTCCATTCAGATCCAAATAAACAGGAATAAGTGCTAACATGTCACTAACGATAGCAGCAAAGCGTGAATTGAGATTAGAAAAAGTATTGAATATTTCATGAAACTGGAAATAAATAAATATTTCCTGAACCAACTCGGCAGAGAAATGCTCTAATGTTGTTGTTGTTATCATATTTTGTTTTAATATAAAGCTATTAGGTGTTGAGTATCATTCTTATTTAATAGCCTCATCAACAAGAATACAAAGCGTTATTGTTCTTTACGTAGTCGGTCGTCGCGATGATATGATGTTGTTATTATTCCTCAGCTTCATAGATCAACAAATATGCCATATTCGTTTTCTTTTCTTTCGATTATTTTCCTTTCAGCAACAATTATGAGAGAGGTCACTGAAATATTTTTCGATAATTATTAATAATGATTTGTGTTTTTCTATAACTGATCGTTCTGACATGTTTAATATTTCATCTGATATTTATTTTTAACTATGATTTGTCACCCTTTGACTTCAAATAAGCATTTATTTTCATTGATTAGTATGCTGAACGATATAAGATACCACAATTCTACTAGTTTTCAATGAATAATTAATATGACTTACATAACGTTTTCGCGGAAAACGACTTAAGTTTTTTTTTCTTTGAAAAAATCAACATTCGTTGCTATATATCTAACAAATGAAACAACTAAAATAAGCTGTCTTTCATTTAATCTAATATGAGATAATTATGGTAGATACCATTGCTGATTCTTCGAGAGACATCGCGTCAGAATGTTTCGCTCTGGTATCAAAAAATAGAAAGCTTCGTGCACATTTTATTGATATGTTTTTTTTAAAAATTACTGTCTTTGTGTATTGTATTTTAAATACTAAATACTATGGTTAAAAAATCGTCGATCATTGAACTTAATAGTCAGAAAGTTTTCAATTTCAATATCCACTCAATTAGAACAGAATATAAATAGCTAGAAATACTGAATTTTTTCGGGTATTTAGCGGTATTGAATATTTTTCATGCTTAGATATCTCTAATTGATAATATACAAAAATTTAGACGAATTACTCTGGTAATATTTTATGTAGTTTGTGTCAAGCGATAATTAGCTTTTAAAATAAGATACATATTAAATTTTATAATTTCAATAAAAACGTACAAGACACTGATCTTTTTCTGCTCTTTTGCTGTCTAGTTTTAGGATATTCTTTATCAATCTATCCCCCTCCCACTTCATAGAACAAAAGTCCACTTGGCTTCTAATTGGCTTTGACACTCATAATATTGAATATGAAATTTTTATTGCGATCAACTTACAAGTAGGTCTGTTACACTTAGTATTACTTCGATTTCCACTTACCATGGTAAACAGTGAGTGTTTTTAAGGTCGAAAAACTGACTATTTAGCAACAATAAACAGTTGTATTATGCACTAACTATTAATCCCTGAGGGTGCGTGTGGGTGTCGTTTAACCGAAAATCCACACCCACCCACATATTCATTCACGCTCCACCCATTTGTATGTTAACAAGAACCGTAGCGAAAAATAAAGATACCTTAGGATCAAATCGTTTCATATTAATAAAAAAAAGCAATTGAAACATCAGATCCAGATCAAATTGAATAAGACAATTTCAACTTTTTTGCCGAGTTCGTGAAAGAGATTTCATGCATTTATTCATTGAAATTGATGAAAAATTAAATAAAATCCACAACTTTGCATATTACTATCGATATGTAGTTGAGAAGAGTTACTATTATGCAGCGTTTATTTCAGAATCTGCCGCTCAAAAAATATTTTTCTGAATATAATATCATATTAAAATGTAGCATTTTCTGTCAGTTTTACGAAAGCTCTTCATCTAAAGTTATTAAAGTTCTCTCGACAAGCCTCATTTGAATGAAATCAAAAGAAAACCGTATGTTGATGTTAATATATATCGATAACTTGAATGTAAATCACCCAGAATAGCATTAGTTAGTCTGAGTATAGAAAAGCAAACCGATACGTATTGAGTTCACTCAATGCATCATTCATTGAATGAGATTATTGCAATCGTACATTGTTCGATTTTGTTCTACAATATAATTGGGTTTTTTTTCAATGGTTTCTTCTTTGATAAATTATGAGATATTTATTTTGAATATCGAAAATGAAACCTTCAACGATATCCGATGAAGTATTCATCTATATTGCTTGAGTTTCAAATGTTAACAAAAATATTATCAAATTGAATCGTGATTAAGAAGAAAAATTCATAGGATCAAATCAAGAGCGATACTCATTGCTATTTTGAATTTTATTTATATTGTCAGTTATCATCATCCGTATCCGAACTCGGTGATGAATCTGAATTTGACTATGAATCTGCATGTATAGTTATGTATTCATCGTCTAAATGAAGACAAAAATGCATATGAATACGTTTAATGAAATTGTTTTTGAAAATATTTCTTACAGTGAAAACATTCTTCGGTTAAATAATGAACCATTTCCAACCAATTTGAAAATATTCGAGGATATCGAGCACTTAGAAAAAATACATTTTTCTTTTTTTTCAGTTCAAATGATGAAATTTCATGTTGAATCTGACGTCGAAATTTAGCTTGTTCAGCTTCATCAATATCGTCAAATTTGTTAACAACAATATTATAACCTAATCCAAGATTATCAAATAAACGAATTAAATTCAAAATTTCTTTTATCGTATATTGAATTAGAATAAAACGTTGTGTCAATCCTTTGATGAAAGAAATATATTTCTGGTTCGTATATGCAGATTCATCATTACAACCGGGTGTATCCCAAAGAGTATATCGTGTACCATGATATGGTGTCATTTATTTTGTTGTTTCACTAATACCTATGTCGACGAGTTTTTTTTTTTCAAGAAGACTATTGATCATGGTTGATTTTCCAGTAGATGTTAATCCGAATATTCCAATAATGTTACCTTGTTTTTTAATCGATTCAGTTTTACGAACAAATTTAGCAAGAACTTTCTCATTGTCTTTTCTCATCTTTTGAAATATCATTAAATGATTTCACGTTCTTTTCTTCGTATTCTGTTCTCCAAACTCTTCAAATCTTGGTGTTTATCATTAATTACTTCACGCATCCCTTGTATTTCATCGCGCAAAGACCTCACCGTATCAGTTTGCGCATGAACTAAACAATAAGTGGTCAACATAGAAGAGTTCACACTTTAAATTCTCATTTAGAGTTTTGCTTCACTTTATTATATGCAAAAGATGTTTGTTTTTCGCCATTTATTTTCAGATACTACATTATTTTTCTTAATTTCTCTCTATAAATGGGTTATGATCGAGAATAGAAAGATCGTTGAATTATTCTACTGTATGGATCTCACTCTATTTCTATTATACATATAATGATTTAAAAACGAATTCAACAATCATTGGATTCCGTAAGTCTTTTTTATCTGTGAAACGAGTTGAAATTCATTTTTTTATACAATTATTTTTCTCGTATCGATAATAGAACAAGCTGGATGTTTTTCGCTTTCAGTATTCATCAAAGCAATTTATTGGATGATAGAAAACAAATGAAGTACAATGTCACTTTAATGGAGAATTGAATCAAAGATGAGTCTATTGTAGATATCATCTATTTGATAGTACAACAATTAAATTCTCTTCTGATTTATTATCATGGTCTATTTTTTGTTGCCTTTATTAAGTGGTGACACAAGAAAAATGATTACGTAAAGTTGCTAAAGATAAAAAGAAAAATGTCGATAATTAGAAATTCTTGTAAATCAATAGATAAAACGTGATTAGCTATTAAAGAGTACTCGGATTTTGGAATGCGAAAACAATATTAGAATTTTGAAATCGAAGACATTTTGCAAGGAAAATGTATCGTCTCAAATAGAAATAGGAATGATAATCATAGCTTCTTTTCTGATCCTTAAAAAAAATTATTATACGCTTGCCATTGATTTCGATGGTAAATTGTAATACAGATCGTGAATTGTATGTAGAGAATGTCTTGCTTCTAGCTGATATATCTTATAGTACAGGAAAAATTAGCCATATATTTAATATTTACTCTTACAATCTAAATGATTTCTTTTTTCATTTCTTTATGATAAAATGTCTCGTAAAATATCATATTGGGAATATATGAAAGAATCTTCGATTATAAAAATATCAACTCTAAATACTAATTAATAAATTTTGTAAAACTTAAACATGTCTCACATTCTGATAGACAAAAAAAAACATAAATCAACACTTGAAAAGCTGTCTTTTAACAATAATCAATTTTTTTTTCGAATCTTGCTGTACAATACAGGATACAGTTTTCTTTTTATAGAATATTACAAAACTCAAAGGATTTTCTTTGTTGAAGTAAATAATTACTTGATGGAGAGGAGTCTCACTTTATATGAAGAAAACTTTGCAAATTTGACTGTATAAAAAATGATTTGCTTCAATGATTCTATATTTGTAAATATTGTAAAAACTGACGCTGAGCTTCTTGGAAAAAGCAACACTTTAGAAAGTTGGACTTATCGAAGTTTTGCAAGTCGTTTCTTTCCTTCGATTTTTCTTGGTAATATTGGGTATCGCATGTTCTTATACATTTATGCAGATAATTCCAGCACAGATCTTTCCTTTAAAAAATTAGTAAAAATACTTTTAGACTGGAAGAAGACAAGTTTCAAAGAAAAACTGGGGATATTTTTTTGAAAATATACTACAGATCTTCGTTATCAAATGACTAATCAAGTATGAACACTAAGATTCATTTAATAATCGGCACCATAATAGATTTTAAAAATAGATATAGATTACCAAAGCAAATATTTTGAGACAAAAGAAATGTTTCTTTCTTGTTCTGAGTGAATCATTCATTTCGTGATAGTATTTACTCGGTCAAAGTCAAAAAGAAAAACTCAATGATTTTCCTGACAATAGATTGGGTATGTTTATTACTTCAATGACCGGAAATGCTGCAGCTTCTAGAATATTTTGGATAATGTTGAAACCGAACATTGCAGTCCAAATCAAAGATTATAGATGAAATCTATTATTAAATGACAACTAACTATTACTAATAAATTATTTTCGTTGGAAATTTCTCTTAAGAAACAAATAGATTAATTTTTTTTTCTTTCTGTTTGTCAATGATTCATGGTTGTTTTTACGTCGATGGACACATAAAATATTATTTCCTTCTCTTCTATTCTATCCATTAATCACTAAAAGATGTCTTGAAAATGGTGACTAATATTGATGGAAATACTCCACGATTAGATACTCATGAGGAGAAGCTCTTTTTTTCCATATCACAATTACACATTTTTGTCTGAGCATTTTAATCGTTGTACAAAGCTTAATGAAAAAGTTCTTCTAGCAAATCGATATTTTGAGGAAGTAGGTGTGGGTAGGTATGACTAGGATTAATACAATGCCAAACTCCACACAATTTGTACACATACCATACGTTTTGCATACTTTGTTGACTAATTTTATCTTCTAAATGATTCATTGTTATCGAATAGTAATATTTATCGTATGACAACATTAGATATTTTGCACGATTTCAATCGATCATTTTTATCTATTTTCATTTGTATTAGTAGTAAGTTTTTCTCATCGAAATCGGTGCGGGTGAGTATGACTATGAGACAATCGAAAATCCAAACGGACATTCACACGTACACTCACACCCTAAAATAGTCTATATGTGTCATCTCGATTCTTTTATTTACATCAGGCTATCTTAAAAGATTGATTTTTCTCATAAGAATTAGGTAAAAAATAAAACAATTTTTTTTCATATATGTCTTGCGGAATGAAAATGTTTTTGAAGTTCATATTTTAATGTAGAAATTGAATGCTTTTCACTTTCCTCTTTTTGCTATTGAGAAATACGATACGGTGTCGAATCTTTTGAAAGATCTATCTAAAATGAAAATTATGAATATTTGTATCATCTTATAAAAAAGTGTCTCATGCTTATATTAATGTTTGCTTTATTTATTTCAACATGAAGTAATTACAATGAAACTTCTTTTTTAAGAACAGCCGTGCTCCGATAATTATCACTAATCGAATCATTGAACAAAAATGTAACGAAATATTCCATTGCTAGTCATTGTCTAATTTTAAACAATCTGAATCACCTCAAATCATATTGACATTAAAATTCATTGCGCATGTATATTTGTTTTTGGCTTCGTTGTAATCACTCTTCACCTATTCATACTATGAATGTTCTGCTGTTGCTATGCGCCGTTCTTCTCAATAGAATGCATATGTGAAGAGAATAGTAAAAAACGAAAACGAAGAAGGTAAAGCACACAGAATGGAAAAAAAAACGTTGCCATGCTGCAAAAATATGAATTAAGTCATTTGTTGACGAAGCAAGCAAACAGTGTACGACGTAAAAACCCTATTCAATAGCAAACATATCGGTTGAAATTACTCGGCTGTAGTGAGTTGATTATTAGGAAGGTTCGAAAAGTAAAAGAAACCATTTTGACTGCTATATACTTAGTGCTGCGACACAGCGAGTATTAGAAACGATGATTACAAAGACGACATTGATAATCATGGTCGACTTTACACAAACCGATCGGTACTTGAGGATGTAGGCGTGAACCTTCAGTTCAATCACGCTCACACTCCCAGCCAACATCTATTTCACATCCCATACCCAGCCACATCCTCACTGTGCTCTAATCAGGACGGGTGTGGGTGGGTGTATGAGAGAATAGAAGATTTACATCGGTGTCCACATCCACATCCACACTTTTCTTAAAAAGTAAATTCACTAAATGTGTTGAGTCAAGTGAATAATTTTGTTTTGTATTGTTATTGATGAGTTTGCTTCGTCATGTTCGATGCAGAGATTCAGATGGTTGATTAGTTTTGACACCTTATTCGCTTTGCTTTCAGGTACTCATCGATCTAACTCTCGTCTTAATCTTTCGTATATACTCGATATGGCTGCAGGTGGTGGAGATGAAGAGATCGTCCAACGTATTCTTCGTTTCACTGATGTTGCTCAAGAACCAACCGATTTTCTTATGCCGATTAGTGGGTATGAGAAAATGCCCATTGTTTCACTCGAGGAAGCAGTTAAGCCACTAGTGTCATTGTTACCAGCAATTAAAAGTTACGCATACGCAGCAAAAAGAAAATGTGAAAAACCAGTCGATAATTTGACACAGGATGAATCGGCTTCGATAATGCTCTATTCAATGGGATGGAAGCCATTGGATGAATGCCTTTATTTTGCTTTAAATGCTACATTACGGTCAGCAGATCGAGATAAATTGAAACCGTGGTTTCTTTATCTTCGATTATTTCTCGCTGCATTATTTCGCCTTCCATCGATGCCTTTACTGACGGTGTTTCGAGGCGTCAAACAAGATTTGAGCCCGCAGTTTAAAAAGAGCAAAACAATTGTATGGTGGGGCTTTTCTTCGTGTACTACTTCGATCCAAGTCTTACAGTCAGAACAGTTTTTGGGAAAGTCAGGTACAAGAACAATGTTCACCATTCAATGTCATTCAGCTAGAAACATTCGCAATCACTCGTATTATGCTTCTGAGGACGAAGTCCTCTTACTTGCTGCTACCGAGTTCAAAGTGAATGGCGTTCTTGATCAAGGTCACGATCTTTATAATATTCATTTACAAGAAATTCAATCTGCTGAACCATTACTGATACCAGTGCCACTGACTGCTGATTCAAAGAATTTAGTATCGAATCAACTCGCAAACGTGAAAGTGAGCAAAAATACAACTGGATCAAATGTTGAAACAATTCAACTGGTTACAAAGACACCAAACTCGAGCACAACACAAGAAATCAGCGTGCCAATGAATATTTCACAAGAGTCTGGTATGTAGTCGTATAGGAAGAATCTTTAAAGGGCTATTGGTCAAACTTTTAATGGTTTCTTCTGATATTGTAGTAGTAATATTACAGTTATATGAGTAGAGATTCGCTCAATTTTGAAGCGTTACGCTATGTTTAACAAATCTATTGCTATGTATCATGTAATTGACTATTAGTTCAATGTTATACATGGTTGAATAAATGATTCATTTATTTCATACAAAATCTTTGATCTTTTGTTCTTTTTTTGAGTCAGTCATTATCTCTTTTTATTACCATTCAAATCTTCATGAAAAGAAATGAACGATAGAATGGTTTAGTTAATGACCAGAAAAAGAAAGAAGTATTGAATATTGTGCAGTTCACTTTTGATGAACGTAAGATCATATATCGGGTGTGCCAAAAGTTGTGCGACATTATTTGTTTCGAATGTACCTATTTTCAGAAGCATGATAAAAGTTGATTTTTTTTCAAAAGGTGCGCCATCGAATTTTTCACAAACTTCTGTTAGCCTCAGTTTAGAAAAATAGAACTGAATATTTTTGTAGGTCTCTTTAGTGTGATTATATAAGCTGGTTCTAGTTCCCACGAATTGTTTTTAGTATTTTATTCTTGTCACAGAAACGAATATTTAGTTCGTAAGTATGGTTCACTGGTAAACAGCTCTTGAAATCCTCTATCGATTATTTATACATAGGAAATTTGTAATGCTCATTTCTTCGGTTAGACTCATAATCACGTTTTGAAAATAGTGCGATTTTTATTTTTGGAGTATTTTGTAGAAAATTGATTTCTTTTTCTATATTGAGCTTAAATGACGCGTGGAAAAACAAATCAGAAAAAAGAAAAATTCGAATAGTGTCGAGAAGATCATTTCAATTATAGTAGCTAAAAACAGATCATAGTTTTTAGAGAAATACGGATGGTGATTAAATACTTGCAAATAATTTTAAAAGAGCATTTTATATCCAAATGAAGGATGAATAGTATAGTCTATTACATGCATGTTTACCACTAGCAAACATCAATGCAAAAACAGAACAAATTTGTGAGAAGTAGACGAGTTCATATATTCACATTATTCGACCTATCAAAATATTCACTTCTATTATTCTAAACTGAGGCAAACAGAAGTTTATAGCGAATTCGATGAAGCATCATTTTGAAAAAAAAATCAACTTTTTGTCATGCTTCTGAACAGAGAATGTGGGTGTGGATAATCTCTTGCCAATTGACACATACAACCACACCCACACTTAACAACAATCGATTTCACCCGATTCCCCTAAAAAATTGATTTCATTCATGGATTTCATTAAAATAGACCACAATTGCTTGGTTTGTACCAATCACTTAACCATGAAATTCATGAAGAATTATGTATCTGTTGAATTTTCTATTTGTATTTTTTTTAAAACCCAACAAAATAGTTAAAACAAAAGAATCATTGTTGACAAGGTTGAGAGTTTGACTATAAAAGATTTCTCGTCTTGTAACAAATTCTATTTCCATGAAGAGAAAATTTTTCTGTCTCTCTCCCATTCTCTCTTATTTTATAATTTTGTTTGTCTCTATTTCAGATTACCCATTACGTTCTCCATCCAGCACCAATATTCATCCGAATGCTCAATGGCAAAAAGATGGTATCACTGTGGCTGGAGGAAATGGAAAAGGCAGTGAAATCAATCAGCTTTGTAACCCGAGGGGCTTGTATGTTGATGATGCTCAAACAGTTTATGTAGCTGATGAGTCAAATCATCGTATTGTGGAATGGAAGTGGGGTGCGACGAGTGGCCAAGTGATTGCCGGCGGAAATGGACAAGGAAATGGGGCTCACCAATTGTCTTATCCAACAGATGTGATTATCGACAAAGAAAGAGATAGTCTCATCATCTGCGATTATTCGAATCGAAGAGTGGTTCAATGGCCTCGACGAAATGGGACACGTGGAGAAACAATCATCTCCAACATCGATTGTATGGGTTTGACAATGGACAAGAATGGATCTCTCTATATCTCTGATTTTAGCAAACATGAAGTGAGACGATATCGAAGAGGAGAATCTCAAGGAACACTGCTTGCAGGTGGCAATGGAAGTGGAAATCATCTCAATCAACTATCTTACCCACGATACGTACTCGTCGATCGAGATCATTCAGTGTACGTGTCTGATTGTGGAAATCATCGTGTGATGAAATGGATGGAAGATACAAAACAATGCATTATCGTGGCTGGTGGTCAAGGAAACGGAAATGGTCTCACACAGGTGTCATATCCTAAAGGAGTTGTTGTTGATCAATTGGGCACTGTCTATGTGGCTGATTACGGAACTGATCGAATCATGCGTTGGACGAAAGCAGCCAAACAGGGAAGTGTCATTGCTGGTGGAAACGGTAGAGGAAAAGAGATGACCCAACTGAATGAGCCTTTCGGTTTGTCATTCGATCGACACGGCAATCTCTATGTCGTCGATTCGTCAAATCATCGAGTACAAAAATTCAACCTCTTAGAAAACAAATAATCTATGAACACACCCAAAAGACACTTTCTTATCCTTGTTCACTAATTGATAAACGAATTGATTTTTTTATTGTAATTACTGCGAATTCATTGTTTTATAATAAAAGACAAAAAAAGTACATACGTATATATAAGGTGTGGATGTGGGTGAGAGCAACCTTGATAGACCCACACGCAGAGCCACACCGCTCACTCACACTCACATCCATATAAATTGCTTCCTAATTACAATCCTAGAAGATCAGGTAAAAGATGATGAAAAAGGGCCCCGAGAGAGATCAAATAAAACAATATTTGCTTGATTAGAAGCAATAGATGCATAGTGTATCATATTTTTATTTCGCAGAGATTGCACTAACAGCCCTTTTCCACACCCAAGTCTTTCGCTTAAATGTTTTTCACTGAATCAATACCGAATCCCGCTACACAGACAAAAAAGTGACAAAAAAATATATGATGCCGTCAATCAATGGATCGATTTATACATCTCTGCGTCATTGCAGTCAATGACACATCGAAAAAAAAGTCAGTGAAAAAAATCCATTGAAATAATCGAGAAATTGAAAACAAGAAGTCCTCGCATACAGCGACCTTCATTTCTTTTTTCTTTCTTTCTTTCTGCAAGTAAGCATTGAGAATACAAAATTCTGTTTTTCTTTCGGGATTACATTACTTCGCTTTCTCAATATTATACCGCAGTCACTACCTCTATCATGGCCTATTTGCGTTTTGTTGGACGAGTAAGGAGAAATGATATCAAAAGTTGCAACGACGCAAGATAAGTGTAATTTTTTATTCTATTTTCTTTTCTGGAGGTGGGTAGCTGCTGAAGTTCCTTTTATATTTATTTTTTCCACTGGATTTATTATTTTTGTTAATCTATAAGCATAGCCACACTGCAGTTAAGAGGCCCCCCCCCGCGCCTCAGGAATCGTTATTCGTGGGCCGATTTGGATGAAATTTGTAGGGAATATGTGCATTGCGTTAACTTAATTTCTTGCAAATTTTTGATTAATAAGATTTTTGTTTTAACGAGTTATGAACAAATTAGTCCTCAAAATGGTGGTCTTCGTAAGGTACCGATTTCTCGGACTGTTGAAGAGATAGAGAGCTAGCATTTGTTTTAATTAAAAGAGAAGACCTGAGTCCACAAATGCATATACCGTTTTTTCCAAATTCAATTTTGTTCGAATTTCCGAGACATTTTCCTGTAATAACTCGGAACTTAGCGCTTGTTGACATCAGTGCTATCCAGTCATCTCGACAAGGAAATCGAATTTCGAAAAAACTCTATTTACATTTCTAAACATCGGTCTCTTCTTTTATTTAAAAAAACGGCAGCTCGCTACCTCTTCTATAGTCTGAGAAATCGGCTTCTAACTCTCCAAAAAATGATTTTGAGAAACCGAATCAACAAGTTTGTGAGATGTGTAAACGGGTGTGAATGTGACAAAAGTAATCAGTGCTATATATATTTGAAATCAGCGTATAATTCTCTTTTTAAGTGACATAAATAAATAAAAATATGAAACAATTTTTTATTTCACTATGACTGTCATGACCTCTATACTGCAATTTCGTCATGTATAAAGGACTCTAAGCAGAAACGACTACGTCTATGGTAGAGATGGCAGTGAGAGTTTGATAGAGCCCTTACTATAGTTTCATTTTGATCAATTTTCGTCAATAAAGATTTGAGATCAAATGATTGTAATAAACATATGTGCTTGTCTCGTACAGATTTTCATCAGATATTAAGAACTATGATTGTTATAAACAGTCAGATGTTGTTTTTTCAACAGAAACTTTTATTGATTTATTTCCACAATAAACAATGGAATGCTGGTTTTTCCACTTGTTATGCCAGAGAGTACCCTCTAACTGTGTTCAGCGGATGCGCAATCGAAAATAACCTATATATGTTTGGAATGAGCAACAATGAATGTAAACTAGCATTTAAAATCGCTCAAAATCTCTTTTTTTGTAGAAAACGGTTCCAAAAATGTGATTCTGAAAATCCGCCATATTGCTGCAATTAATTAAAATAACAAAACGTATATGTATTTCTCATTTGGAACCGTCTACAAGTTTGTTGACCACTGTCACATCTCCGTAACTAAGAAAATTTCTGAAAAAAAACCTTACATTTAGACTACTGCTCCCAGAAAACCGCTATTTACACCGCCAAAAGACATTCAAAATGCAATAAATTGCACATAATCTGAAAGAGGACACTTTGAGCTTTCCCTACATGTGCTTATCTCCAAATCGATTTTCTGGGGGGGGGGGGAAGCCCCTTAAGAATGCATGTACAATAGGGGTGTTAGATTTATCTGTAAATTCATAGGAATTTTTTGAAAAAGCTTCAATGAGTTAGGAATAACATGATTCCCAGTAGCTTCTGCCTAGTATATACAAGCAATGATCTCATGAAAAAACAGTTCAAGGATGTTATTTCACTATTCGCTTAATTCTTAGTCTAGATGTAAGCGCATTACTCAAGAATACGTTTGATGTAATAGAGCGAAACAGAAGCAACATACAGAAATGCGCTATGACAATGGTTTCTGTTGGTTATGAGCGTAGTGAGTAGAGGTACAAGCCATCCAGCTGCGATGCCGCCGCCGCCACGAACGAAATTTTTTAATAATAGTATGATGCGCCGCCGCGACTGACATTTTTAGGAACAAAAACTTTTTTTTGTGTTTTTTGGCTGTCGAAGCCGCCGCCGGTGCAGAAAAACATAAAGTATAGTAGCCGCCGCTGCCGGTATAGAAAAGCATAGAGTCTAGTAGGCGCCACCGCCATGAAAAAAAATTGGACCATTAAAACAGCCGCCGCCGTTTGATCCTTCGGCTTACACCTCTACTAGTAAGTATATTTAGGACATGTCACATTTCTTGTTTCAAAAACACATAGCAACCAGCGTGAGAAGACGAGAACAATGCAAAAATAATGAGTATTGGTAGTATGAGCTTTGACTCACTTTAAGGGCAGCTTTACTTGGAATTTATACTAGTCAACAGAACTTGAAATTCTAAGTATACTGGACCCTAGTCTGAATGATCCTTAAAAATAAGCTATAAAGATAACTCAAACGCAGAAAAGAAAACATTTTTGAGTGGCTCAACCTTTGCAACTCTGGCGCATCGTGAGTCAATTTCAGCGAAAAGCTCAAAAAATTGATGTTCGAAATAATGAAGTTGCATCAATTTTTGGTAAATACTTGATGGTTTTAGTGAACTCAAAATGTGTAGCACAGCTACATTTGACTTCATTTTTGGAACAATTATTTTTTGAGCTTTTGGTCCACAGTGCTCCAATCAATAATGCTTAGCGGCATACTATCATATACCAATTGATAATGATGGTGAACGGTAGCTACCTGTAGTGACTGTTGACACGATGCGTAAATAGTGCTTTACAGTGAATTACAGTCATCCTATACAAATGTACAAAAGAGTTCATTGTTTACGTGTACCATGATAAAACTAAGACTTTCAACAATTATCGAATAATATCGTAAAGCGTTCTATACGTAAACTGTAAAAGGTTTAAGTAATGTTCATTGTTTTCTCTCGTACTTTGTCGTAAGCAATTGCTAACAGTGACAAACTCTTCTCATTATATTTAGCGATGAAGCTATTATTTTGACTCTAGTAGACCTACATATCCAGGCATTGTTTTCAAATCTGTCAAAAGCAGTATAAAGAACATGTCAAAGTACAGATCCACTGTGCCGAAAAAGAGGATTCTACTTACATTAACCTGAGAAACTGCATAGAATCTTTATTACTTTTCATGAATGGTGTTCTGTACTTTATTACGACTCATTTTTTTGACATATGGGGCCCTGCTCAGTAGGGATATACCATTTAACTTAATTCAACTTTATTAAGTTAAGTAATTAAGTGACTTCACATCACTTTCAATATTAAGCTTAACTTTTTCTAGTAAACACTTAGCTCACTTGATCTGGAATTTAAGTAGTTGGTTTAGGCAAATAATATTTATTTTTCAAATTCTTCTTTACTGCAACATAGATTCACAGCATAGTATTTTTTAAGATCACAAGAAAGAGAGCTTCTGACAACTTCGAATGAATCGAAACTATACTACATTTCATCTTAAAACAACTGTAAGCAAGCTTTCTTAGAACTGATTGGTCTATATAAGGAGGGTTTATCAATCAGATGAGTATTGTTAGAGTCATATGAAAGAGGATGCCAGATAAGCTTGGATCCATTCGAATCACATCATAGTGAATCTATATAAGAGTAAAGAGAAACTCGAAATTAAATGAGGCTTGCACAAATCAATCACTTAAACTCTATTTTTTGTGATTTAAGCGTGATGCAAGAATAAGTTAAACTTGATATTATATATCCAGTTTTTTGTTAACATTTATACCAAAAAAATAAGTGCCAAGTAAGAAAACTTGAAATTAATATGAAGTATTAAACAGTAAGATCTAATTTTACGTGCAGTGAATCGATTGAATCCTATCTGGTGGAGTTTAGTGGTATATGAAGCAAAAATATTGATCTAAGTAGACACATCTATGATTGAACAAATCATTATCGAATATGCAATAAACATCATATAAGAAAATATCTTATGCTTAGAAGTCTTCGAAATCGTATCCATCAATATGTTATATACTGCGGATGAACTGTTCATATTTAGACGACCTCTACTCTATATATGCAACGGTCACTATACAGTTGAGTTCACCTGCATACCGACTAAGGTCCGAGTAATTTCGAACACAACTTATTCAACAACTATCAAATATCCGCAGGCAGCAACATCTAGTTTTTTTTTCCAGTAGTTAGGAAGTTTAAAAGGCTTATATAACAAGAAAAAGTTGCTTATACTTTCTAAGATATAACTATGCAAGTAAAACAGTTGGGTGTGAGTGTGGATGAGGATGATATAGCATGTAGTTAGGAGTGCAGGTGCCAGCAAACCCCGATCTCCACCCATGCTCGCACCAGCACCCGCAACCACACATTCACACCTACAGCCACACCAACTGGTCCATCCTCTATCGCTTTTGTTTAGCAACTATTTAGCGAGAACTAAATGATAGTGTATGGTGTGCTGAGGTGTGAAAGTTGATGGAGAGAGAGGCATGCTGACCTACCTGAGCTCTTCTCTACATCCTACATTGCATATGTTGCATGTAACTTTTTAGATGAATCCGATCGAATGGACTGTTGATGACGTCGCAGAATGGTTGAGGCAGAAGAAACTGAATCAATACGTCGGCAAATTCGTAGGTAAGTCTTTCTTGTAAATTATGTTTGGTTACTAAGCATCCGAATGAGAAGTGCACAAGTACTGCATGAGTATAAACTGGTATTTTAGAAAATCGTATCACTGGAAAAACACTTCTCAACAAGGCGTTTGACCACCAAATGCAAACAAGACTGGTACCGGTCATGGGTCATCTGGTTATTTTCAAAGCTGCTCTCAAAGAGCTGCAGCACGCAGGTAAGCACAATACGAGTTGCAAGAATTAACTTATTTCTTGATGTTTTTCAAGTTCTGTCTTGTATTTTCCGAACAAAAAGTATAGCATATGATTAATGTGCAGTTTCTAACTCTCTAATGCAATTGTCTTAGTAGAAATTTGATAGTTGTTAATTTTTACAACGCACATATAAACTTTTTGTATCGAAGATTTTTCGCGATTTAATGAAGTTGAAACCAATACATCACATGCTGCTTTTTCGCATTTGAGAACTGTTAAGACACAGGCGAAATTTGTTAAGCTGCTTCCATCTGAAAAAGTAACCCAACTTTTGATATGGATAAGCTTTTCTCCTGAAACTCTTAGGATTGATTTATGAATCTATACATACTCAGATAGCGCGTAAGAAACATTATTCGATGGTGCGTTTGCGTTATTTGCTAAAAGAAAAATTGCAATTCGTATGACTATGATCACTTTTTTTCAACACAGCGTGAAGATTACAACATGCTTTTAAGTGCTCGATGGTTTATTCGGTTTATTGCTTCATACTTATGAGCTATGGAAAAAAGAAGACCATCACGTAAAAAAAGCAAGTGGCAATTAAAATTGAATCTATTTGATTTCGTCAGAATAAACATAAGACTATATAATAGAAGCATTTTATTTGAAAATATAGACCTAAACTATGATTATTTACAAGTTATCTATCATGAATGCATTCATGACTTTCTGATAGATAGTTCTCTTTTTCTTATACGTGTGCATATTTTATTCAGAGTCTGATTTTCAGAAACAAAAAAAGATACTATTCAGAGATAATAGAGAGGTTTTCCAATAAAATAATGACGGAGGAAAAGGCCATAGTATAGGCTTTGTCAGTCAGAGAAAACAACAGTTTTTCACACAATGTAAGATGAAAAAAAAGTAGTGTCTTAAACATTTGTGCAGCTAGAATAGGTTTTTTGCCTCATTATGTTTTACCTGAATTATCTTTTCAAAGTTTGTCATATTGAAATTAGCAATCAATAGGACACTGTTGGAAATCAGAAAATAAAAATTTTAAAAAACAGTACTTGATAGAAGAGCTCGTTATCATCTTTATAACAACTCCAGGCAACAAACGAGCTTCTTCCAAATTGATTCTTCAAAGAATGGTCAAGCTTTTCGGAACGGATAAATGATTCTTTATCTCATATCTTTTCGATGGAATCAGCATCTCAAATAGATATTCAATCTTATTGTCGAACATTTTTTTACAATTGTAGGAAGGAAATTTCAGTTGACGTACCTCTTGTTTTGAATTTTTAATACTGCCAATTATTGATCGAAAACTAAAAAAAGTATCCAATTCTTTTTCCATTCAGTTCTTATTGAATATTTCTCGAATTGATAATCAATGACTATCGACTTTCTAAATTTTGTTGTTAAATACGATGAAATATAATTGTCATCATTTGATTTCTTTCTTTATAGCACGCGATCCTGATCAGCAATCACGGAAAGAAATTAAGTATCTCTTTGAAGTAAAACTCAATATTGATACCAAATGTGCTAGTACCATATCGTGCTCTTTTTTTTTAGTACGCGACACAATGCAATCCGGTAGATTCCACTCCATTTCTCGAGAAGGACAACTGGAATTTACCAGTGAGTGCTCCTTTGACTTTGCATATTCACATGGCATATATTGATTAGTGGGGGATGGGGGAGGGCATACAATGTTCGGTGAAATATTGTAATTTTGAGATTCATAGATATAAAAGGCTCTGATCTAAATTAATTACCAACAATGGTAAGAGAAAGTAAATCATAACAACCTTTGGCAAAACAGAATGTGTTAAAGATCTATAATTTATTCTATTCTGCTTTTATTTTTGAATTGATTTGAAAGTCTAAAAATTGACAAATAACAGTATTTTCTATATGAAAAATGATTTAGCAGGATTTTTTGAAAACGTCTAGCATTGTGCGAGCTACTTATTGGCTCAATTTTTTTCTAATTAAAATCTATCAAAAACCGAACAGACACTAATTGTCATATTTTCAAAAATATCTGACCTTCTCTTCGTCTTTCTTTTCAGTCAGCCATGGTACACAATAAAAGCGGAC